ACATGGAATCACTTAGAATCACTTGGTTGGAAATAACCATTAAGGTCATCGAGTCCAACCATTAACCCTACTCTACCAAGTCCATCTCTAAGCTATACCCCCAAGCATCACACCTGCACAGCTTTTATGCGCCTCCAGGGACGGTGACTCAGCCACCTCCCTGGGCAGCATGTTCCAGTGCCTGACAACCCTTTCAGTGAAAGAATTCTTCCTAGTGTTGAGTCTACACCTTCCCTGGAGCAGCTTGAGGCCATTCCCTTTGTTCTATCACTTGATTCTTGTGAGAAGAGACCAGCACCTACATTTCTACAAGCTCCTTTCAGAAGCTGTAGAGAGCAACAGGGTACCCCCCCCCTCAGCCTCCCTTTCTTCAGACTAAAAGGCTCCAATTCCCTCAGCTGCTCCTCATAAATCTTGTCCTCTAGGCCCTTCACCAGCTTAGTTGCTCTTCTTTGGACCTGCGAGACATAGCTGCCCAGAAGCTTGCTAACAGGGCAAGAAAACATAACACTGTTTGTCTTCATCAACATTTAAAACTTGCCAGTGGTTACACAGCTGGGAGCGTGGCACTCATGGCTTGCCATGCAGAACAAAGTCTCGGAAATGGACATTGATATTGCTGGCTCTTAGCCTGGAGGTGCACAAATTAACTGGCTGATGGGGCGGATTCTCTGAAAGCATGAGCTGCCAGGACAGATAATTTGTGGAAATGAAGTTACTCTAGCAACAGAGACAAATGCAATGAAGAAGGACAGACCGTGGAGAACCTAATTCCATATGCATTTTTGGCAGATGTATGTTTTACTGAAGATTATTCAGAACCATATGCTGGGCCCTGCCATCTGCTGAATTTGGATACGACATCTATAAAGCTGGTGTGGCAATACACAAAAGGAAGCTCTTAACTTTGTAAGAGAAACTGTCGGTGCCTTTGTAACTACAACTGTGTCCCACAGAAAATTCCCTTTTCTATTTCGTGGAACTTTCTCTACAAAGTACGCTAAGGTTGAATTCCAGCACTCAGAACCTGACTTTATCTCTGGTCCCTATTAAAATGCCTCAGTACTTGACTGGAGAAGGGCCTGAGAAACCTGGTTTAGTAAGACCTGCTTTGAGTGGGGAACTGGACCAGGGACCTTCAGAGGTCACTTTCAACCTGATTTGTTGTAGGATCCAAATTATTACATCTGTGCAGATGCATGAACACAGAAGTATCCTTCTTGGACAGAATCTAGTAAGGAAAGAGATGTATCTTCCAGTCAGGAAAATGAACAGTGGCATACAGAAAGAAGAGACAATAAGAGTTTTAATAGATTGTTTATTTGGTAGAAAGTTTGCTTGTAAAAATCTTCAGAAAAAAGTAATTCACCCTGCATCCAGCCCAAATGCTGTTGAAATACTTAGTTTGATGACTCGTAGCTCCTCATAATTGACAGGAAGGCTTTTTCCTTCTCTCTTCAAATGCAGTGTCCTCTCACTAAAACATTGATATATCCTTTAGTTAGAAAATACTATTGGGCTTCTGGATCTTATAGATCTTATAGATCACTGGAATAGGTTGCCCAGACAGGTGGTGGAGGCCCCATCCCTGGGGACATCCATGATCAGGCTGGATGAAGCTCTGAGTAGCTTGATCTAGTTGGAGGTGTCCCTGCTTATGGCAGGGGGGTTGGACTAGATGAGCTTTGGAGGTCCCTTCCAGCCCAGACATTCTGTGATTCTATTCTATGATTCTACGATTCTGATCTAACACAGTCCTATGAGTTTATGCTTTTATGTTCTACCAGAATCCTGCTTATGTTGGACAAGCCTTAGAAAGAAAGGAAGTTTTTGTTTAATTGAGTAACTTCCCCTGAATGTTCTTGGGCAATAATGCTATCTGGCATCTTGGACCCAAGTCCTGCTGTCTGGCACACCAAGAGCGAACCCTCTTGTGCAAGCAGTACTTGCTGTGTTGAAAAACTGTCTCTGAACTATTTCAAATGAAATAGCATCCAAGAAAATCCATAATATTTGTTTCTAAAATAGTCACTGTTTGTTTTGATGTGAATAAAACCAAACTCTTAAGGCTCTGTTTCAAGGAGTTAATGCTAGGCACTGAACTTACATAGCTTGAGATATAGCAACTCAGCTCTGCTCCCCTGGTAGAAAAGTGAGGGAAAGGGCTTGTGTGTTTGAAACTGCATTTTTAGCTTGAACTGTAGAATAAAACCCAACAGGAGTGAACTATTCACAGTAACCTCCCATTCCAAGGGCGAAGTACATCCTCTGACTTGTCATTCCTAATAAAACACGTGGCACAGAAAACAGAAATGAAAATCAATATCCTTGTGACAGTTCAGAGGCAGCAGAAGGAATGCTTGCTTGAGATGTCACATTGGCATGGTGGGCACTGAGCAAGTACCTGAGTAACTCAGAGATAGCCCCCAGCAGGCTCAGCAAAAGAAGCACCTCTACTATAAAGGTGAATTAGGCACTTGAGAAAATTATTCCAGAAGGAGCTGAAGAATTTATCAACCTGCTTTTACCACAAAGGTGCCCGTTCTGAATGGGATTATCTGAAACTCTCTCACTGGCAGGTTCAACTTGTAGGCCCTCTGCATATTGTTTGGTCTCCCAGTCAACTTCTTTTGTCTCTTATGCCCTGAAAACTTTCTTCTAGTTTAGAAGAGATGCCTCAAATTTATGTTCTTAATTTTCAGCTATGAAGCTCAGTGAAATTATTGACCTCCCCTGGACTTCTGACATGAAAGTACTACTGGGTAGACAAGGAAAATAACATTAAGCCAAATGGATAAATCATTTCCCACATCAAAACATTTATTAACTGCATACACGTAGTTTGTTTCTTTTCTAAGGTTTCTTTCTTTTCCTTCCTCCTTTTTTTTTTCCTTTATTGTACCTTGCTCTGAGATTTTCTTTGCAAGTATGAGTATGAATGGACCCTCATGAAAAGAACAGGACACTGTCCTGCATTTGTGTAGTACAAAGATAGAAAAAGAGGGAGGAGAAAGCACACCCGCACTTTAACATTCACACCTGAAGATGCACAAACCAAGTCGCATTTCCTCACACACACAGGCACTTAGTGGAATAAATAGAAAATGACACTCAAGTCCTGTCATCTTAACTATATTACAGTAAACCCTGAGAAGATGTTTGCTCGCCTGCCACTTTGTGACCACTGTGATATCTTTGGGATTTTCAGCAGCTGGGAATAAACTGTGGTTCTGTCTGTGCAATTTTTCCTGTGTCCTTTGACCAAAGAGCTGTTTTGCTTTTGCAGCGACACCACCTGCAGTTTTCACTCACATCTGATTTCCAAAGGTGTTATAAAAGTACCCCCCCTGACTGCTAAGGGAATAATCACTGCTCTGTGTTGTGAAGCCATTTCTCAGCTAACTTTCATTATGCATTTGTGTTGTGTAACTGATAAGCGTCGCACGCTGGCAGCTGGAGGTTTGTGACTCTGTTTGGTTTCTTCTCTCGGGAGTTTTACGTCTCTCACATCTACAACCAGACTGGTTAGGAGCTTAAGGCATAAATCACCTGGGAGAGACTGAGCAAAAGAAAATTCATAGTGCAGCACTTCATTCACAAGAACCAAAAAGCCCAAACAACCCCCCCTGGCCAAAGCTCAACAAAAATACTGTACTTGGTTCATGCCAAAGCCAGGCATATGGTTTCAGAAATAGTTAACCAAACCCTGCAAGTAAGTGAACTTGATTTAAAGCCTACTGAAGCCAAGGTGGTCTTTTCTTTCAGATATAAATATTTTGGTGCTAGTTTTGATTCTGCATGAGATCTGTCATCTGCATGGTTTATATTTAACTGTGCCTACAGCTGTGGTACAAAGTACCTGTCGCAAATGCCTAACAACCAGAGCACACTAAGTTCAGGGGTCGGTATCAGAGTGGCCCCTTGATGTGTTGTGGTGTTATTGCTTGTTCTTATGAACAGCTAGCTCTGCCTCTTGTGGATAATTCTCTTGCTTCCAGGAACAGTGAATGAACCCCTTAGGCTGAGCTGTGAATTACAGCTCCAAAATGAAACACTGATCTTGCACATGCTTCTTTTGCCTCTGTGCTTATAGGAAGTCAAGGTAAATTCATGTTGAATGCCTAAGGCCAATCAGCAACTGATAAGGCCTCTTTTAATGACCTGGATCCACTACAACTGGTGATGATACCAATCAGCACAGTAGTCATCCTATGTTGTTTATAATGTCTGTAATGTGTCAATGAAAAGGTGCATTTATGACCTGGATGTGTAACATCAATGGCTGTTACTTTGCTTTTCTGTTCCTACCTCTGGAGGTGACCTTTAAAGAAGACTGGAGGCTGTGTTTTTAAGAACCTCTGTTCCAAGAGAAAACATTGGGAAAGGTTGAGGTGTAGCTGGGATTTGTAGGGGGAGACAGTAACAAGTAAGAGGCTTTCTAAAATTTGCAAGAATCTAGGCAAAATTTGTGGGAAGTTCATGTAAACCATGCCTGCTATTGAAAGGTCTGCTCAAAACCACAGCTTTGAAACAGACAGAGGTCATAGATGAGACCTCAGTAAGGATGGGAAAATAAGTGCTCTTCCTCCTCACTAGCTTGAATTTGAAATATTTACTTTGTCCAACATTTCTGTTGCCCCAAGGTGAGGATTTTTGTAACCAGCGTAAAGAAGAGCAGGAAGTATAGCTGCTTATATTGGTGTGAGAGCTTTTCCCTAAGAATGACTGGGGAGAGTAGACAATCCTCACCCTCAGCTGGAATCCTCCCCTCCCACATGGTGCATGGTGCTTACTTGCAAGTGTATACATATATCTTGGTTAGGGGCTGCATGTACATTAAGCTTCTTTCTTAAGAAACTTATTTTTTTTAAAGAGAGTTATTCTTGATCCACCTGGAGGCACAGGATGCCCAGTGCAAGCACCTGGGTGTCTGATTCTGGACGCTGTCTCTGCCCAGCGGCAGCTCCTCTGGGCGCTGGGTCAGGACAGGCGTGAAGGGGTCACAGCAGTTTCGGGTTGTCGTTCAGCCGAAGGCTGGAATACATTCCCACGTGCCGGACCAGGTTGGGCTCCACCACGTAGGCGTTCTCCCCCTTGGTGTGCAGCAGCGAGTAGAGGGCAGTATCCTTGGCGAAGCCCTGTCGGCAGCGCAGCCCCTTCAGGTAGCCCAAGGCACGGTGGGCAGAGGGAGCAGGGAAGAGCATGGCGGGCGTGCAGCACTCGGTGACGGGCACGACGTTGTACAGGGCGGGGGCCAGGCGGCGCAGCTCCAGCACGTAGTGCCGGCCCACCAGCTCCGCCAGGGCCATGCTGTACACGGCAAAGAACAGGACGACGGGCCAGCCGGGGCTGGCGCGCCCAGCCGCCCGGGAGCACGCACAGCTCCGCACGGGCCCCAGGA